AGAAAACAACATCTAACCGAGACTAATACATCCTACAAAATTATCTTTCAAAATTGATGGAGAAATGAGGTCTTTCCATGACAAAGATAACCTAAAGAAAATCATGACAACCAAACCAGCACTCCAAAGAATACTCAGAGGTATCCTTAGAAAGAAATAATGCAGCCAGCAATGTCAGAAAGTCTAGTTGAATGAATTCATCAGTTAAACAGAAGGGGAACAAAAAGGAATCGGCAACAGGAGAGTTGATACAAGGACAGGAACAAGTCAATGCCTTTCAGTCATAGATTTCAACGTGAGTCATTTCTGCTTCTCTATCAAAAGACACAGATTGGCAGCTTGGGTCAAAAAATAAAACCCAACAGTATAAAGCACATTTAATCCTAAAGGAAATTCACTGACTAAAAAATCAAGGATGGAAAACATTACTTCATGCAAATGAGCTCCAAAACAAGCAGGAGTAGCTTTCCTATTTTCATAAAAAGTGGACTTCAACCCAAAACTAATGCGAAGAGGCAAAGATGGTCACTACATACTGGTTAAGGGAACTCTTCAACAAGAGATAACAATTACAAACATGTATGCACCAAACACTGGCACACCTACTTTCATGAAACCAACACTACTGGATCTGAAAAGTCAACACAGTTACAGTGTGGAACCTCAATACTCCACGGTCACAAATAGGTCAACTTAGCAAAAAACCAACAAATGTGAGAGTTGAGCCACACCTTTGAAAAATGGACTTAATAGATATGTTGTTCCACCCAACAATGAGAGAATACATATTCTTCTTAGCAGCACAAGGATCATTTTCCAAAAGACTACATATTGGCCCATAAATGCTTAACTAGATATAAAAAAATTGAAATTACTCCATGCATGTTATCAGATCCCAATTATATTTTTTAAAAATAAAGTTAAACCTTCAAAGCTATGAGAAAAAAATTAAAATAAGAAGGGTTTGCAAGCTAGAATACAATATTTATTGTATTCTAGCCATTTTACTTTGTTTTGAGAAGTATTCTGGTCAAAAGAGCTGATAAATAGAAAATTAGAATAATATTTTTACAGGTCTTGTCAGAGGTAGAATTTGATAAACATAGTAAAGAAAATACAAATGCTCTAACTTTGCTTTGTAAGCAACAGGACCAAATTTAGGACAAAAAAACAATGCTTGCGACATTTCTTCAGGTACAGGTAACATATGCCACACAAAGTCAGTGGATAAATTTCAAAAAGTAAAATCCATTTCACAGTTTGGCTTGGTTGAAAAAAAGGAACATATTTGCTTGATTTTACTCCATGACAGACAGAAGCAGCACTCTCTCACTATTTAGGCATCTTGTGGCCTCTCTCTTGCCTTCTTTTAATTAACTAATCGATAGATTTAATGTTTCTGGTTTAATACTGAGATCTGTGAACCATTTTGAGTTTGGTGCATGGTGATAGGCTTGGGTCAGTCTTTGGCAGGTAGCAAGCCAATTTTTCCAGCACCATTTATTAAAGAGGCTATTGTTCTTCCAGTGAGTTTGATTGGCCCCTTTATCAAAGATTAGGTGGCTGAGTGTGTTTTTGGTTGTGGCTGTTTCTTCCAGTCTGTTGCATTAATCCTCAGGCCTGTTTTTTAGCCAGTAAATCTATTGGAAGAGAAAGTAGGTAAAAACCTTGAAGACATAGGGGTAGGCAGAAAGTTCATGAACAAAAAACAAATTGCACGTGAAACACTTGAAAGAATCAACAACTGGGATCTCATCCTACTGAAAAGTTTCTGCAAATCTAAAGAAATCACCAGCAGAGTAAAAAGAAAACCCACAAACTTGGAAAAAAATTTAGCTGATTGTCCCTCAGACAAAGGGCTTCTATCTAGAACATATAAAGAATTAAAAAATATCAGCCCCTCCAAATTCAAAGACCCAATCCAAAAATGGGCAGCTGAGATGAATACACACTTCTCAGACAAGGAGATACAAATGGCAAATAAATATATGAGAAAATGTTCAACATCATTAGTCATTCGAGAAATGCAAATTAAAACAACACTGAGAATCCACCTTACCCCAGTAAGAATGGCTAGCATTAAGAAATCAACCAATAACAACTGCTAGTGAGGTTGTGGAGAAATAGGAACCCTTCTCCACTGCTGATGAGAATGCAGACTGGTGAAACCACTGTGGAAATCAGTTTGGAGATTCCTCTGAAAACTGAGTCTAGAGGTCCCATTCAACCCAGCTATCCCCCTGCTGGGTATTTTCCCAGAAGATCTAAAAACATCATATCACAGTGATATATGTGCACCTATGTTCACAGCAGCACAATTTGTAGTTGCTAAAATGTAGAAGCAACCCAAATGTCCATCCACCGAGGATTGGATAAGAAAATTGTGGTACTTTTATATAATGGAATATTACTCAGCTGTAAAGAAAGATAAACTCGAGGCTTTTACAAGCAAATGGTCACAACTAGGGACCATACTCATAAGTGAAATAAATCAAACATACATGTGCAAGCACCGCATTGCTTCACTAGTGTAAAACCTGAAAGAGTTAATTTAAACTCAAAGGTATGATAGACACTGTGAAATGATAGGAAACCGCTCAAGAGTAAAGGGCAACTGGGATGTGGGAAAAGAGAAGGGAAAGAAGGAGAAATTTTCTATGTATGTATATACAGGATAGTTAACATGGTTGTTCTTCTGTCTTCCATTTTTATGCAGAAGGAAACTGTCAATGAGTCCTTGACTGATCAATATTGCATTTCTATATCTGTTTTCATGAGAAGTCACTTTGAAGATATCAATATGTAATACAACAACCATTTTTAATTCCCTACCACTTTGTTTGTAACTCCGTATTGTCTCTACTGTTCTTTTGCTATGTTGTAAAATGTTGTCTGTCTGTTAATGTTTTCCTCCTTTTATTTTTAAAATAAAAAAAAATAATTAACTGATCGAAAAACCTGCATTTGAACATTGCCTTTCTTGGAGGCAGGATATGGTGGTAGAGGTTTTCACAGAGAATTGCTGGATACTTATATTCATTTGAACAGGGTTTTGTGGCCCACTTGTAATCTGATTCCTGTACCTGTCTCCTGGACATTGTTATTTATGTCATGGCTGTAGACTTATCAGACACTATCTTGGATAAGAATATCTTGATTAAAAATCAATCCAGTCAATTCCCAAAGCTCTTTTGAATTTGCTTTCCAACTAGTTTAGGTGCTTGTTTTATTTGCCTTTTTGACTGACTGCAGCAATATATCACAGTGATTTTTAAAATTTCTAAGCTACATACTTCCTGAGGAAGACTTATGATTCTGTTTCTGTCACCTCTGCATCCTGGAGTCTAAAGCAATTCTGGACCCATAACAGATGCACAAAAAATGTTTTGAAATGAATGAATGCATGGCTGAATATTTACTTTAAAAAACTTGGTTGATTTTCTTAATGTTGTACTGGACTTTTAAGAATCTTGGCTTTAAGTTTGGGTTCTGTAAGAAAAAACAACTTTCATTTTAAAGAAGATACTTGACTATCCCTTATTTCTTTTTAATTTGCTTTTGCTTTTATATAAAAAAATAAGAAAAATATAGATCACTTTCCTTATTTTTTAAAATTCCTGAAATTCTCTACCCTCAGGAGTCTTTCTCTAAGTTCAATATTGAAATTATTAAATGTATGAGACTGAAAAATAAAATTGTCTTTATTTCTTAATTAAGTCCATTTGTTTGCTGCTAATAGTTATATAAAAGTAGTCATTTTGAATAGGGAAAGGAAAGATAAAGGTCTTACAGTAATGAGTTGAAGATAAATTCATAGATGTGTAGACACTGACTGTTAAATAAGCTTGATTGGAATAAGGTCTTGTTACGTTTATTGTTCAGGCTGCAAGCAACTTAGCTAGAGTAGTAATAACACGATCTGTCTAGGTTTCTATTATTTGTAGTTCTGTTGTCACTATATTTGCTAAGTTTGTGAGCACCTAGCTGAAAGGGAAGGTATCGTTGTTTAGTTTAATTTGTGTTTCACCCAGGAAAGTGCATTAAAAACAATTACAAGATGCAGCGATGTTTCATGTGTATGCCCTATTGACTTTTGTAGCCCTCTCACGTGAGAGAAAAGATCGTTTTTTCCCCTTAGTGGCCACTATATGACTTGTTATTAGGGGCTGATTTGGTTTATGAGGTTTACAGAAACATAAAACTGGAAAAATTTCTCTAATGAATATTCATGAAGATTGAATAAAATGGCAATTAAATATTTGAAGTTTGGAAAAATATTGTAAAGGTTTTAACATACATATATTTTTATAAAAACAATTTTAGGTTATTTAAAGTTAGAGTTTTGTGTGTAAAATATTATAATTGTTTATATTAATAATATCATAAATAGGAAGCATTATAAGCTCTGAAACATTGAAATTTGTTGAAGAATAACTATCGGTTAGGAACTGTATTAAGAGCTTGTGTATATTATATAATTTAATTTCTAAAATAAATGTATTATTTAAGTACAGTAAGTACTATTTCAGGGTGAAGTCCTAAAGGCTATGGCCATACCAGGACCATATCACTGATAAATGGCTTTCTCAAGGTCAGAAAGTTCTTTCTCTTAAACCATTGGCATTGCTATAAAGATTGAAGATAATGAAGTAACTTAAGAAATATGAAAATATCCCAATGATAATTGAAAATCTTGGATGTAACATTTTGTATTATGTTGCTTTTACAACTTAGTTAAAATGTATTAGAATAAAAAGATCACAGGAAAATATTCTGAATATTGTCAGTATATGCATTAGGCTTATAAAATTCTGTGTGGTGTTTTTCCTTTGCTGTATTTTGTAAAATGTCTCTAATTGTGGCTAGGTTCCTCACCAATTAAGTATAAAGTGGAGAGTACTTATAGCATCATCCATGAGTGTGTCTACACTTCTTAAATCTTTGGGATGCTTTTGGAAAAATTTCATGGTTGTTTGAGCTTGTATTTTTCTAAATTCCAGATCATCAAGTTATTGAATGGAAAAAGATCACAAGCTGTGGGAATTTTGATATCGAGTTTACATTTAGAAATGAAGGATATCCATCAGGGTAAGTCTTTTTCATCATTTCTTCCTGACTTTTAAGTTTGTTAAACATTTTGCTGTGAAAATTTCAAACATATAGAAAAGTATAATGTCATGATGAATGCCACGTACCTAATACCCACTACAAATCCATCAACTCACTTTCGTTTCCTTTAAAGTACCCTCCCCTCCCACCAACTAGATGATTATGAAGCAACTCTCAGACATTTTTGTAATTCATGTTAAAAATATTAGTGCCACCAACAAGGATATCTTTTCAAACATGACTCTAGTGCCATTTTCATGCCTTTAAAACATTTAATAATTTCTTGGTATCATCACATATACAGTTCTGGTTTCCCTGGTTGTCCATATACTCACTAATAACCCTCTATTTACAGTTATGATGAATGACTGAATAATTATTATGAATGATAAACATCCTGCATTACCATTGATGTATCTTTGTTAGTAGGCATTAATGATCTTTGCTTAAATTCGTTATTTTATTAGAAAACAGCAAAGTGATGATGTACTCATTCATTTTCTTCTTCATTACCAGCAATACATCTATAGAGAAATAGCTAATCAACCATTTTAGTTATGTCATTGTTCCTTAATCCCTTCATTTTTAAAGAACATTATTTCTACTTGGTTATCATTGCCTCAATTTTAAATGAAAGGTATTTAAAGAAAAAAATTACATTTGTATATGTTTCTTAGTTTCTAGAAAAGTGAAACAAAAGCCGTCCTACCTTTTAAAACTGTGTTTCTTGCGTTCCTTTTTTCAGTGCTCAGTTAAGAACAAATGTTTTGGCATGGTGCTTATATTTTCTGAGTGGTCTGCTGGTCTCTGAGATGTTTTCAGCAGAACTTAGCATCATGTAGCAGTGGATGCACTCAGAAAACATCTGCCCTTCAGTATGTCATTCACGTTCCTCAGTTCTGTCACTCTGTGGCTCAGTGTAATAGCAGACCTTGAACTAAGGAGCAGTCAGATGCTTTTACACATTGTCTTCGCTTCCAGAGCAGGTTTGGCAGGGGCTTAAATGTTTAAATTCCACAGAAGCTAAAAGTATCCTAGAATTAATGACAGTCACGGGGTATTGCGATGTCATCTTTTTAATGTTAATCTCAATAGTAGAATCGAGTATGTAAATGTGAGTATTAAGTTAGGGTGGTTGCAAAAGACAATTAGAATAGATTCTTCTTTGGTGACTTTACAATAATCTAAAGATTGATGTTCTAGAAGTTCTTCTACAAGAATAATCCAAATCAAAAGAATATGATACCAGGGCAAAGAAAAAGTGGAAAAAGGAACAAATCTCTGTGGGGGAATTGATAATGTTTTGATGGGGAACTCTCTTTTTTGAGGCAGTCATTGAAATGAGAAAGGGATTCTTTGTGTCTGGTGAAAGAGCCTTGTCCTAAGTGACAACACTCCTCCTGCGCCTGGTGAAATCCCAGTATTCCTGGATTTATCACCAGGATGTGTGACACCACAGATATGAGTTTCCACAGATATGAGTTTATTCAGTTAGGCATATCCTGCTGCGGTATGACATGATACCACGTGAATAAGGGTTATTCCAGCCATGGGATGTTGTAGTTATCAACCCCAGACCACAAACCTTCTTCCCTTGGCATTCCAGCATCTTTGGATTGAATAGTCACTGTGAGTTGAATAAGAAGTAACTTCCCCTGGCCAGACCTTCCCAATACTCTACTCTAGGCCAGATCATGTTTTCATGAAGCAAATGTGAACTCTTCATTTTAGCACCAGCAGTGTTAATTGTAGCATCACAGACTTCCAAGTCTTGTGGTCATGACTGTAGTTCTTTCTCCTGCCTCAAGCACCTTTATCATCCACCACAGAGTTGGCTCCTAAGTCATAACAAATACCCTCCATTCCATTCCATTTCTTTATTTAGTAATGTGTTCCAGATGAATGTGGCACTATAACCAGAGGTTAATTTTCCTTTAGAACCATTGACTGACACTGGCATATGAAGGCTGTTAGGAGCCCCAACTATGTTAGTTATGTTTCATCCTGAATCCATATCTAGTCATGAATGGAACTCACTTGACCTTGTATTGTTATCCTGTTGAAAGCACTCTGTGTGCTGACATTGACCTAACACATTTATTTTAATGCGAGGGAGCTGCAGTGAGATCTGACTGGGAGAGGCCAGCTGGCAGCCAGGCAGAGTCTCACAGACTATCAGCACTGGTGAAATGACCGTAGCTCAGAGGCTATTCTTCAGGTTTCTGATTGTACGTTCATCTTTGTCAAGACCATAGGCATTACCTTGCACTTTCCTAACTCACAAGGAGCTGATATATAGTGTATTCACTTAGAATACACTAGTGTATTTCTTTGTTAGGACTAAAATATTTATCATATAATTTACCATCTTTCCACTCCTTTTTGTATATCTATTTATATCTGTTTTGTAATTTGTACTTTTTCTCCAACAGAATTAATCTCTGTGGCTCTGTTACAGTACATGTATAACAAACATACAATAAATATATTTTGAATGATTGAACAAAGATTACATAAGAAGAGATAGATGAAAGCATGATTACAAAGAAACAGGCATAAATAGGCTTGGAAACAAAACACCTGATTCTTGAAATGTTACTCGGGTTGTAGGAATGGAATACAACTACCTACAGGCATTCTGGAGAACTTCAAGCACTGCACTTTTCTAAATGGCAGTGCAATTTCAATCTTGTCTTTCTGAAAATACAGCTTTGTCACCCTAATAGCAGTCTTAACTATTTGAATGTACAATTACTTCCTACAGATAGACAATCTGGCTTTTAGAGGCTCAACTCTTAAAGAATAACCTTGTTTGTAAGGTCTTTCTCTGTGGTTTGTTAGGACTGGCTACAGAGTGCCTTCAGGAAGCAAAATTTTTGGCAGTTTGTCCCTCCAGGTCACGAATAATACGGCCACATAACAAAGAACACAGTCAACTTTTTTTTCACCTTTATATTATGTTGCATTCCTTTCCTAGGAAGTTCTCTAATAATTATTGCTTACAGCTGATTGGCCTAATGTGTAATATTTAAAGTCATGTTTTCAAACGCCTGTTGAACTTCATTTGAATTTTTAAAAATACAAACTTTAGACTACTTAGAATCAGAATTTCATGGTTCTATTCCTTTGGACAAAACTAACCAACTACCTGCGTGCCTGCCTTCAGGTGTTGAATGCTAGCACTTAAGATCAGGCCCTTAACATTTTCAGGAGGTTGCAGGATGGTAGGAGAGATGTATGAGCATCCCAAGATTGCAAGAGAGATGACTATGAGCCAACAGAGCAATATGTTGACTCTGTAAAACGCAAGGTGGGTCTTAGAGGCTTACTTGGAAATCACACACAGAGAAAGAGCCTCTAGCCGACGAAGGAGTATGAGGAGGACATGGGAAAAGGAGCTGTTGCTGGAATATGCAGATTGCATGTGAGTGTGGGAAGTTTCAGGCTTTGAGACAAAAAACAGGCAGTATCACAAGAAAGCTGCACATTAATGCATCAGTAATAGAGAGAAGAAATGCCAGGGAAATAATGTGTGATTAAATTTGAAGGCAGCAGAATCTCTGAGTGTATCCTGTGGAAAACTGACCTCTAAGGTCCTGCGTGCTCTGGCCAAAGTCTGTGTCTATGACTTCACTTTGCTCTGTGTGCTTCCCCTCCCATTTCTCTCTAACTAGCCACAGTGGTCTTCTTTGATTCCTTTAAAAAACCAGGTTCCTTCCTTCCTTCCTCTGTGTGTTTGAATACACAGCATAGCTTGAACAGCACAGCACATTCCCTCTGTCTGAAATCCTATTCTATCCTACTCAGTATGACTAGGTCCTTTTATCTTTTTAAACTGTAGGCTTCATATTAAATCTCACTTCAAAGAGGCCATCTCATATCCTCTCTCCCTAATAAATCTCATCCTGTTAATTCTTTTATTGCTTTCATAGTTGTTTATATTTACTTGTATATCTATTTATGTTTTCAGTTACATTAGAATATAACCTGCAAGCGTGGGGATTGATCACTCATACATTCCCAGCACCTTGCACTTATATCTGACACTCAGGTAGTGATCATCGGTGCATGTTGAATGAATGAATAAAATAGAATTGAAGGTGGATAAATTTATTGGAAAGGAGTGGTAACTGTTCACAGAATAAATGGTAAAGGTCAGAAATAAGGCTGCATCTGAAGAAATATGGGGGAGAAGGCCACGTGCATGAGATACTTGGGGAAGGAATGGCTCTAATTCATCACAATGGCAGCAAGGACTAATGGAGAATAAATCTGGGTCCTACCTTAGATTTTGACTGTAGCAAGGATGTGTATATGGTCACAATAAATGGAAACTGGAAATATAGAGAAAAAAGCAGCTTGAAGCGGAAAATGAATTTTATTTTGCAAGATTTGAGTGTGAGATGGCCCAAGACATGTAACATGTTCAGTGGACACCTGAAAACTCTAGCCTGATGGTGAGTAAATGGTTAGAGATATAACCGACCTCAAACAGGAATCTTGTCTGTTTCTCCCTACCCATACTGGAGTTTGGCATCTTTCAGGAGAAAGCCAAGTCCATGTACCGAATCACAAAAGGAAAGGCCTTGATTGTGGAGGAAGTATGGTTTTAAGAGCCTGACCATAATGCCCACAGAGCTTGTATTTGGCTCACGACAGACGTGGAATAAGTGATTACTTACTGGTGGTTTTCCATCTGCTGGATGGGTGACTTACATGTAAAACATTTGGCATCTGTGGACACAGTGGCTGCCTACATGATTACAAATTAGTGTTTTCATTCCATGTTCCTGATTTCCTCTTATTCTCGTCCCGGGGGAGATGGAAAATTGCTGTTGACTATTTTTGATATAAACCTTCCTATGCGTTGCAACAGACGAGGTGCCAGAAACCTCCTGGCATTCATTTGTAACTTCCCGTACACTCAGGATTGATATTTATAATATTTAATCTAACATCAAAATAATACATTTTTCATC